CCCCAAAACCCCAAAACCCCAAAACCCCAAAGGTTGAAAGAATGAACGATAAAGTATGTCTAAAAAATAAATAAAGCTATATGAAGTAAATTTGATTTTTCTATGTTTATTGATTGTAATTAAGAGTACATTCACAATTTTTCTAGAGATTTCCCAGTTTCTTCAATAAGCTTGAGCTCACTCCTCCTTCTCTCTCTAATCTCAAATTCTCTATTGCTCTGACAAATAATCCATCGATCATATAATTATCTACAAGGACCGAATCTGGAAAACAACGGCAAATAGTTCCATTTACTGTTTATATTGCAGGATCTATATTCTACATGCTCATTGACACAAGAGTCATTAAAGGTATAGGGTATCATAAGACTGTCTATTTCCTCTTGAGTATATTTTGTAGATGGAATATAGTCTTTTTCCATTGCAATTTTAATAATTATGGCTAATAACCTTCTAATTAATATTATAATTAGTTAAAAATTGTTATATTAGCACGAGAATTATTGTCACAGTAATAAATTTCAGACTATATTACAGGGTAATATTTATTTAATGAAAGACCAAACTAAATCAAACCATTCTCCATAAAAACAAGGTTCAATTTCTATTAGCAATATTCAACATCAAGTGCAGTATTTAGAATTCACAGATGCAAATGAATCTTTGTTCCCTTCAATGCGCTGCTCAATAGCAGAAGAATTTGAATGTGAGGACTTGCAAAGAAAAAATTTTGCTAAAACAAAATCACAGATAAATGTGATGAAGTATGAAAACGCTGAAAATGTAAAAATTTACTTTAATAGCAACTAAAGCAGCAAGCCTTCTTCTAATTTTTAGTTGACTCCTATTTAGAATAAAAACTACCCCATTATTGAAATACAAGAAATGTTTAAAAACAGCGAAAAAGAAGGGACTATTGCTAGACCTCACGGAAGTTCCATGAAAAAAAATCAGAATGAATAATTAGCAGAATATGTAAAGGTTTATCCTTTTGAAATACATAGAGCTAGCAGAAATTAAAGAAATCAGGGTATAGAAAAAACTTTAACTGATTAATTTACATCGGATAGAGACTATGAAAATCTCCAGTAAATAAAGTTAAGGTCATCGAAGGAGAGATCAAGTAGTCTAAATAAAAACTCAAGTTTAATAAGAAAACCAATTAACTTGATGGCTGAGATCTAGAAAAGTGCAGGTAAATTGTCTTTGAAAAATAAAGGTTATGATCCTAAATTCCATGATCCAGAGGATTTAGAAGATGATACAGCAATGCAGTTCTTTTCTTAGTAAAAAAGCACAAAGAATGAGTTGAAAATGAGTATCGACTCAGATGATAAAGACATTCAGCCTTTCTAGGTTAGTTCGTCTATTTAAGCTACAAAAGTAATGTTTAAGGTTCCAAATCAAAAGAAATAGATGACACAAGCAAAAGACTCAAGATATAGGAATAATTAAACAAATAGAACATTGTTCAAGACATCTGACATGAATGAATACAAGCAGCAATCTAGGTCATAATATAATCTCTTACCTTCTACCAATATCTCCAAAAAGATATAGTCTGTAAAAAAGAAAGTTAATGGTATAATTTCAGCCTAAACTAAAAAATAATTTTAATCACCATCCAAGGTAAAAATGTCAAACGTTTTGTAAAAATCCCCTATTTTGTTTAAGTCCTTATCAAGCTATCCTCTGCATACATTCAGTTAGAAGAAAGAAAGACTCTTTGATTATTAAAGTAATGAAGTGAAACCATCCTAGAATATGGGTAGTACAAGATTTTCAGAGTTATAAGAAATTTAGGAAAAATCCTAGACACCACACATTAAATTTTTGAAGGAGAGCCCATCGAACTCAAATCTCAATAAAAATCTTAAAACACCATAAAAGCACGCTTAATCTACTCAATTGAAATAATGCTTATTAACTATGAAAGATTCTACTATAAATCGTCATTGTTATATTGAGCAGTCTGACGGTGACTTGATTGAAGGTTCTCCAAAACTTTCAAATTAAATTTCTCCAACATAAATCTCTTCTACTAAAAATCATTTACCAACTTTTGAAACTGAGAAGTTATAAACTTCTCAGTTAAATCATCAACTCGAATTGGAATTAGATGAATCCACGCCTTACAAAAACATTCACTCAGTTAAGATTGAGGAGTTAGACGAATCATTTTCAAAATTAAAAATTGACTTGGGCTTTGCTAATAAAGATAATCATCATCTAAGAGTTACAAATATTGAAGAAGATCTCACTATCAAAACTGTTAGCAAGATAAGCTCTTCTAAGACACTATAGTAATTACCAGCAGATTCTTACTAAAGTGTTCATAGGAGTCCAAATTATGAAAAGTCTAAATTCATCCCTTTCATGTAGAGTAATCAAAATAAATAAGATTCAAAAAGCAAAAGGAAAGATGAAGATAGCACATCTAGAAACAACCAAGGTATAAAATCAGTTAAAACTAAAAAAGGTAGCTCGACTAAACTAAATACTTTGAATGGTATTGGATCTACTAAAAGGTTGAATGAAGGACTTGTGAATGGTGCAAACGTTGAAACTTTCAAGCAGCTATTTGAGATGACTAAGAAGATATCAAGTGCTGTACCGGTAAGGAAAATAAACGCTTCAATTCACGAAGACTCAATGTTAGTAGTTCGTACACCAATAAGCAAAAGATCGACTAATAATTTTGTAAATAATCATCAGAGTCAAAAATAAATTTAAACCAAATTGGAGAAAGTAGAATAAAAAGCAGCACGCAGGAAAAGAGAGGTAATTGCATTGAGAGAGGAAAACTTTAAATTGAGGTCAATGCTCAACTTTATGCTGCAATCTAAATTAAGTTAATGAGAAAAAATAGTCAGACCATCAATTAAATACTTTTAATGATTCCATGAGTCAATTCACTTTATAAATTTCTGCCGAGTTATAAGGAAATAATAGGAATATTAAGTTATTACAATGATTTAAGTAATATGTTAGTTAAAACAAATATGCAAAATTATAAGGTTTCATTACAATTATATTTGCATTTAACTAATTAAAAATGCTCAGTTAAAATATTTAGAGATTTGCTCTTACGGGGTTTTGGGGTTTTGGGGTTTTGGGG